TTGCTCAGGTTTTTTGCAATTCTTTTGACTGTCGAATAAGACAAATTGAGCGTCTCGCCCATCCTTTTCAGAGGGATTTCCTGCTCATATGTTACCGCAAAGGTAATGTACAAAAGGCCTTATTGAATGTAAGTCAGGTAGAAATATACGTTTTTGTAAATTATACGTTCCGCTTATGTATTATTTAGAAAAGGAACAGACAGAAGAATAATAAGTATTTCAAGAAATGGCCACATCTATGGCCAGTATTTTTGCATTCGCAAGCTTATAACAGATCGTGAAATGAATCCACTTATGCGGAAAATAATCCATTAGAAAGAGAAAAGTAAATTCATTCATTGTCAGTCCCATTGAATCACTCATCTTTGGGTATATTAAAGAAATTGTCAAAAGTCTCCAATTTCACTTTGGCATTACCTTGTAAAAAGGTAATGTACACAGACATTCCTAAGCTGAATATCAGACTAGAACACTTTTTAAAGAGGTAACCTATAATGGAAAATTTCTTTACTAATCTAAGGAATAACGATATCAGAATTCTGTTGCGGACATTATTTATTCTCGACAATGTGGTTTGCTGTTTTGAGGCATTTATAACTATGATCCGCATGGCCATAATCATAAGAATTGATATTCAAAAACTCAGTTTTCAGTAAATGCTCTTTATGCATATCTTATTTTAAAGGTTTTGATATAAACGTCGAACAGAAGCGGACTTTATGAATGACCACAGGAAGACACTGAAAACGATGAAAATTATGCCACATTATTTTGGAAGCTATTCAATAAATAGTTGTCCACTAATGGTAATATGTACAAAATATTTTTAATGAAGAAAAGTTATTTTTATATAAAGAAAATGGTTACATTCTGTTTTCAACTTAAAAGAAAATTTAAGTTTATTGTTCTAATTTATATCAATTTTTTACGTCTGCGGAACTTGGGGATTATAGGGAAATTTTCGTTTTTCTTAACAAACACTTTGTACTTCATATATTTCTTTTAAGTTTTAAATTTGCCTTATGCTGTTCATCATTATTTCTAAGTAATCGGAGATGTCTTCACGCCATTACGGGAGGAATTATCAAACATTTACAAACGTAGGCGAATTTCTTGCAGCACTCGCAATACTGTATATTTGAAATTAAATATAGTGAAGGGCTATTCCACCATTGATAGTAAAGTCTACGCATTTTGAATAGTGAAGTAAAGTCGCAGTTCGGAGAAAATTGGTATGTGTATTTATAATTTCCATGTGTAATTATACTATTGTGGGTGCTTTAAGTTTTTGCAAAAAACGACAGTAATTGAGGCGTATATGTGGCATTATCATGTTATTGCCCAATTCGCTCATAAATCATTTCTATATATGTCAGTGTGCGAGGAGTATTCTGAAAAAATATATCCATGTAACAAGTCCTCTGATATTTGAAATATTCAAAAATTCATCTGTTACCGACGTCGTATAAGAAAGTGTGCTTGCGCGAAATCACTTAAGACTTCAGAGGATAATTGTTACCTTCCAGAATGACTGGCATTTATATAAATTCGATGTGTTGGCTGAGAGTATTTGCGAATTAATTTTTGTAAAGGCTGTTGCTGAAATTAATTTACGATACGGATCGACATGTAAAGTATAGTCTCAGAGCTTTATATACACACGGAGTGCCTGCTTTTGTGCGCAAATATGCCTATGAACGCCTGCGATATCCTCCAGTTTCGCACTGAACTTAAGAAAAATTCGAAATAAGTAGGTAGATTAATAGAAACCAAGGCATTTTTGTACATTTTGCAAAATTTGGCCTGATGAAATGGCACTTGCTTCAAGTTAACTTCACTGTGACCTTGCAATTCTAAATAACATATGTTAAACAAAATCAAAAGAGTTCTGATACCCACCTCCGAACATCCCCTGATGTTTACTGCTTAGAACTTACAAGGAGAAAAATCAAAAAATGTAAAGGAAATTGGGATGGTTATTTCTGGCTGACTAATACTCATCAAGCAGCGACATCCAAACTTCGGGTCCAAATCGTGCTTCCGTTAACACTGATTGTTAAACGGATGGAAGTGCACTCACCTAGACCAGGCCAACTGCATCAAACATTTGCGTGGAATAAATATGAATGTTCATAATATAATTGATACGCTAAGGCCGTGTCTTACAAATAATAGTATTCGGTTACATAGGAGTGGCTTTGAGGAAGTGTGAGCTTATACCTGTAAATAGGCTGTCTGCCGCGCAAGAATTAATTGATCTCACTGCATTTTACACAGGCTGAATTTTGAAAGTGTAAATACAAGTGCGGAAAAATTGTGGGGTTTGTAAAAATTGCGAACGCATAAACGGTTTCTCCATTTTGAAAAAGTAAAATTAAAAGCGGGTAGTTATACATATAATTCTACAAGTGAAATTACATTACCGACAATGACTAAGAAGACTGAAATGGCCATTTCTTGCCCATTAGCCGTCATCAGCCCAAAACCAAGTGGTTCGCCAACCGAGGTTCTAACCCATGACCTTTTTAGCTAGAAACCTAACGCTCTAACCACTGTGCCACGGGCTCGAGTCTTACCAGTGTCGATTGGAAATATACACACTGGCAGATTCTCCCATTTTATCAGACGTCTAAATTACTAAATTATTTTATAAGTGAGTGCATTATCCAACTTTACATGTTGAAAAACATCCTAGAAATGTGTGTATGCCTATTGTTATTGAATTGTATCACAGCCAATCCAATGAAACAAAATTTACTTTGAGGAATCAACATATCTGCATAAATTTAAGTTGTCTATATTAATAGTTTTCTGGTTTGAGTCACAAGAGCAAAAACAAGCGATTTATCTCGCTTTCAAGACTGTCAGTGCATAGGATATGTGATATAGATAAATAGATTTCTAAAAAGCCATAAACTGAAAATATTTTTTAATTACAGCGGGCATTATATGACTAATAAACGCTCCTAGTGGAATACCATTGACATATTTTAGAGTGTCATTAGTACGTGTTCGAATTAGTCAGCTGTAATAGGCAGCGAGGGAATAAAGTGTAACAAAAACAAAAACACAACGAATATAAAAGATCAAAAAGCAGAAAATTAAAATTAATATGGTCGTGTTAATCAATCTTCTTGAACCTGCGCGGAAAATACAAAAATGATAGTGACGTATTTGTAAGAAGAAGGATATCAAGAAGACGAGGGGCTAACATCTGGGGGAGGAATTACGTCTCAAAACATGAAGACGTAGATGTTATACACCAGATGTTGACCTCTGAATACCCATATATATAGCGATGAAAAATGAATGGGGTGATTTTAATGCACGTCATAGTGCGTTAAATGCTTCCAATCTGTGTCAGTGTCTACTTTTTTTTGTTCATAGTGTGCCTTTGCGTGCGAAATCTAAGCAACAAAATAAGGGCACTTTCTTCCTGTTACGACCCGCGCCTGGTATTGTAATTAGCACGAACTCTGAGTTAGCCCAGCTGTTTTCCCGAACGTCAGCACGAGAGAGCGAGACAAGTCAATCGGCCAGGAAGAGTACAGTACAAGTCAGGCAAGAAAGCGCAATTCACTCCTACAAAAAGGCTGCGGGGTATTTATTCAGTCCGCTCTATGACCAGGCGTCAGCGACAGGGGAACCAATCAGCTATGAGAAAAAATCGATAGCCACGGCGCGCGCACTCATGACAGCTGTGTGGAGTTGCACCCAGGGCTTTTCGGTGAGATAAATGATCGTGGTAATGGACGCATTCCCAGCACATCCCCTTCAAGTGGGTCAGTACTGCCTATGGTGTGGATTAACCTGTATGCGCTGCATTTCTCGGTGAACACGGTTGGTCCGGCGTGTTAAGGACAGTTTCCGGTCTGCAGGTGAGGAGCCAGGAACTGGTTCCGGAAGCTGTATATCCGAAGGGGGGGGGAGGCAGCATTGGGTTCCGGGACTGACTGCTCCGCTGGAATGACAAAGGTGTCTAGCAGGATGTCGAGAGGGAGTGATGCGTCTGATTTGGGTCCGGTTGGATTGCTGCATTGCCGCCGTCGGATTTGGTCTCGGTGACGAACCCAGGTGTCATCACAGACAGAGACGTCGAACAACATGCTGCGTCTGTGCGCTGCTACTATCGCTTCAATCCAGACCGGGAACTCAGCTCGGTAGTCAGGAACGAAGATAGATGTTCCGACAGAAAGCTTGCCACGAGAGGCAGGTGGAATTGACTGTGAGGACGGCGAATTAGTAGGTAGCAGTGCATGGAACTTCGTTCAAAGTTTCCGGCCTATCAGGGCTTCAGAAGGGAAGACACAAAAGCTCGGGTGAATGTGTCCACAAAACTTTCCGCCTGACCGTTCGATTGGGGATGGTAGGGTGGGGAACGAAGATGCTGCATGTGGTGTTAACGGCAGAAATCCTTAAAGGTCGAGTAAGTAAATTGGGAGCCATTATCCGAAACCAGAAAATCGGTTAGCTCATGTAGTTTGAAGGCGATTGTGTCGGAGGTGGTTGAAGGATTAAGCGGTGCACTCTCAGGTCACTTTGAGTAGGCATCGACCACGACTAGATAAGTGACTCCATTGAGTAGGCCAGTGAACTCGATTTGCACACGCGACCAAGGCCTATCTGATGTTTGCCATGGTACTAGCGGTTAACGAGCGAGCAGTTTGGCATCTTGCTGACAACGGGAACAGCGCCAAACGAGATCGTCAATGTCGTCGTCAATACCTGGCCAGTTGGCAGAACTGCGAGCGATGAACTTAATTCGACTGGTGCCGGAATGAACAGCATGAAACTGCCGTAGCATAACAGGTCGAAATGAGAAAGAAATCACTTCGGAAGAAGAAACGATCACTGGAACAAGAGGTTTAGTGTCCTGACGTTTCGGAT